CAGGCTCTTTGCTGGAGCTTGATATCTTCTTTGCAGGCTCTTTGCTGGAGCTTAGGTGGGCATGTCCACCAGGAAACCAAAAAGGATCACTTTCCTTGAGTTTTTCCTGGTAAGGCACACCCTTTAAACCACAGAACATGTTAAAACCCTCTAGGCCCCGTGCCGAAATTGGGTAGCAGTTCTGAGGTCCTTGTTGGTGTTGCTTCCCAAGTTCCATTGATCGCCATTTGGCTCAAGACACAATTGAGGTTCAAGATCTGATGTGTGACTGCGGATATCCGTGATTGGCATTAGGAGGAAAACAACTGCTTGCGCCGCACTGTCAGGACTACTGTTGTGACTATCATTCCTTCTTCCTTACAACGTTTACACGGGTTCGGCTATAACGGCATCGTCCGTATACACCTTTCTACGTGGTTGGTATTAAAGCTTGAGGGTTCGGTGCACAGCGTCCCACGGGACGTCACCTTGCCGTCTCTTTACAGGTTATCAGCCGTAACTACAAGCTCTACACTGGACTGGGAGACAGCTGGTTTATTGCGGGTACAGGGACAATAAAGGAACGATAACCTACACATTACAATGGCGTCTTCGGCGAGCCCAAGTACTGCAACTTTTGGGAACAGCAGCTCAGAGGGATCCAATGGATTGATGGCTCTTCCTGCGGTGATGGATATGATTGCAGATTCACAGGATGAACCTGGGAGCGGAGGTTCCGCGCTATTCAGCGACATAACTACTCCCACAAGATCATGGAAGCAGATCGATGTTCATCAGGAGTCGAAGAAAAGAGAATCCCCACCGAGAAGATCATCATCTTCGCCTGCGACACCACGGACGTCGCAAAAGGGCGTGAGATCGACATCGAAGGGTGGGAGGTCAAAATCACCCACCAGTGCAGATTTTCGCGCCGTGATCAAAGAGAAGAATAAGATGGAGGTGGAGATCGGGGAATATCAGAAGACACTTGATGAAATGTCGGCAGCAATGGCGAATCTTAACCAAGAATACTATGGAAGCACCATCCGGATCCAGGAGCTGGAAAGACGATGCGAGATTGCCAGCAAGCAGTCGGGACATCTAGTGAGTCACCACCAACACCACATGGCTGAGGCATTGCGCAAGTTTGAGGAAGAAGCCCAACAGATGCGCAAGGTGGAAATGAACGCATTTCAGTACGGGGAGAAGAAAGACATGGAGTCGAATATTATGATGCTACAGATGAGGCAAGCTGAAGGAACTATCATGGAGCAGAAGCGGGAGATTGCATTGATGAGATCCTACATGGCAAGCGAGAAGTCGGCCGCGCAGGAATCAGCTATACGTGCAAAACAGATACACCGTGAGGCTTCACAACAGATATCAGCCTATCAGCAACAGATCAGAGGCATAGAATCTTCTACATCTATCGAGAAGTTCAACGAGGAGGAGATGGTCCAAAGTCTGAAATCACAGTTGGAGCATGCACTCGTCAAGCGCCCCGAGACGTACTCTTTGGAGGACTCCCGGGAACAGCTGATGACGAGGCTGAATGACGTTACAGTATTTGCGGAACAGGAATCGAAGAGAGCAGATTGCTTGCTTCGCGAAAAGGAAGAGATCGTCAAACAGTATGAGTCCGACGTGTCGATGAAGGACCAGATGATTGCTGTCGAAGGTAGTCATCGTCAGGATGCGATCTTGGAGTTAGCCCAGGTCAAAGAAGAGAAACAAGAGGAACGGTGCACGATGGACGAGAAGTCGAAGGAGGCTGAGTACTGGAGGTTGACAGCTAAGGGAATGTACGATGAGTACCTCGAGGAGATGCATGAGCTTCAGGGACAACTGAAGGAAAGAGAGGCGACGCTCAAGCAAGAAGAGAGTTTTGTGCGCCAACTCGATGCTGACAACGAGGAACTACGTGCACACAAGAAGCTGGAGACACAGGAAGCCTCCAGCAGCAAAGATGGACATCGTGAACGAGCAGTAGTGAAACGCGCTGAGGGAGGAAACCAGGCTAATTCAAATAGGATAGACAAGAAGGTGGCTGGGTCAGTCCCGTCATCGTCTTCAAATCAAATCCCTAATTCGTCGCTGATGCCAGGTTCGATCCACTTTCCGTCTTTCGGTGATCCAATGATCGATGTACACCTATCCCAGATGCAAGGGGTTGTTGGGCATGTCCCACAATCCACTACTACGACTGGTGGTGGTGATGGAGGGGGAAACAACGGTACTACACCCCCATTGGATTACGGTGGATTCCCGCCCAATGTGAATGGGCAGGGAGCGGGTCGACGTCAGTTGAGCCTCGCTGGTGGCGGAGGAGGACCTCCGGATGATCCACCCGATGATGAGGATGAGGATGACGATGACGAAGGAGATGAGGAAGACGAGGAAGAAGAAGAGGAAGAAGACGATCGGACACGGAGGAAACGAAGGAGATCGAGAGATAACCGAGAGATCAAGAATGATCGACCGAGAATCTCGAGGAAAGAGGCCGAGAGAGTATCTATTCCGGCCTGGCCAAAGATCCATCAACTTGACACCTGGAAGATGCAACTGCTGATGAATGTTCTGAGCGCATGTGCAGATCCAGAGACCGACGCATGGACGAAATGGCTGGAGCAGGCTCTTGGGTTGAACCCAGACCTGGATTTGCTTAGCGATTCAGGTGGCGACAGATTTGCTACGATAGATATTAAGATGGCCATGGGCATGCAGAACATGCTGAAACAAGCACCTGACGACGCCAAGGACGTATACCTCGATGCTACACGACACTCTGAACTACGACATCAACAAGGGGTGATCGTGAAGGGACGAGAGTTGGTGGCATTAGTTATGCAATCGTTCAGAACTTCCGATAGAACGGATCTTGTCTACCACATCGAGCACTTATTCAACCTTGACTTTCCTGGCGACAAGAACTTGGTCATGTTCAGGAACAAATGGTATTATTTGCTGCTGAAGATGAGGAGCGAGGACAGACCCAGTAAGCTGGCTCTCAGAGACATCCTTTACAGGAAGATCAAAGGGAGCAAGAAGATGGAGTTCGGCCTCAATGCCTACCATAGACTACCGGACAAGCATCCTCAGAAGACGTATGAATTCTTATTGGCGTTGATCGACTAACAGATCAAGGCAGATCGGGAAGACCTGATGCTCGACATGAAGGAGAAATCGGTCAAGTCGATGATGAAGTCAGGCGGGAAGGATGCGGCTCCAGCAACTGGCAAACAGGAGAACCAGGGTGGCAAGGGCAGAAAGGGGAAACCCGGTGGACCTGACGCAGCTCCTGTGCTCCCAAAAGCCAAGGCAAAGGGCCACGCTGGCAAGAACGGCAAGTCCGACGGTGCCAGCGACAGAGGCAAGAGTCCGGGCGGAAGCAAGGATAACCCCTGCTGGTACCACTTCAAATCGGCGAAGGGGTGCGTGAAAGGAAATGAATGCACTTTTTCCCACAGCAAGAAGACGGAGCACAAGTTGGAGAGTATGTCCAAGGGGAAAGGAAAGGGCAAATCCAAATCCAGATCATCGTCACCAAAGAGAGATGATGGAGCATGCTTCGCGTTTCAGAAGGGGAAGTGCGATAGGGGGAGCGCTTGTAAGTACAGACATGAGCTCATCAAGAACAATACAGCTCCAGCAACGTCAAGTGACAAGACACAAGCCAAGTCGAAGGCTGCCGCCAAAGCCGCAGCGCCTGCCATTGTGAGGAGGGCCATCGCGATGCCTGCGATAGTCCTGAAGCAATCGGCTCCTGCGGGGAAGGTAAGCTTCAAGAAGGACGTTGATCATGTCGAACCGGACGAAGCCGAGACTATCTACCACGAGCACGATGACGATGTGATGAGCGAATCATCGAGATGGTCTGGCGAGTCCGAGATCCCCGAGAAAATGGTGTGGTTCAAGGAAGTGCTCGACGTCGACGAGAACGGGGAGATCACCTACCTCGAAGACGAGAGAAGGCAATGGGAACGAAAAGGAGAATGGTACGGTTATGAGGACAATGAGAGTGAGCCTTATCAGTACGTGTACGTCGACGAGAAGAAGTTCAAAAGCAGTGATCATCGTGAATTATCAGCCTACCAAGTCCAACGATCATTGATACGTGCGAAGATACTGAGAGAAGTGGTGGATGATGTATATAAGAAGCACTACTTCCCGGTGACCAAGGAGAGCAGCATAATGTTCGAGTCTGATCGGAACAAGGACGAGATCAAGGAATCGGCTGTCGACTGGAAGAAACAGCATGGTATGCCGAAGAACGTTTTCGCCATGTCAACGTGCATCAGCAAACGGGTGAAATGGTTGACGGACACCGGATGTGGTCATGATCTCATCGGAAGAGCCAAGGCGAAGAGCCTGGGTGTCGACATCGTGAAAGATGACGACGAGATCGTGTTCCAGACCGCGAATGTTTCCACTTCCACATCTGATGTGGCCAAGATAGTCGTGGACGAGTTGGACGAGACTGTCGAGCCGCATGTATTGGATGAGACACCCACGGTATTGTCAGTGGGGAGGAGATGCATGAAGATGGGTTATGCATTTCACTGGATGCCTGGAAAACTACCTTTCATGGTTACGCCAAAGCAGGGATTCGTGCACTTGCAGGTCAAGGACGACATCCCGTACCTAGTGAGTGATGGTAAACTTCGGAGTAACAGGCATCGCCCTACGATAGACGACCTCAAGGAGCACTTTTCGGAAGTGTTGGCGATGGTAACGAACGACGAGGCAGATCCGGGAGGTGACGATGAGAACGACGTCACACCCGCCGCTGTCGGTGAGTCCGCAGAGGCCGAGGGCGAACACCACGACGGGGCATTCGACTTCGGGCCACCCGGAGGAGCCGGTCCGGTACGTCCGCCTCCCGTGGCTGAGGAAATACCTGAAGATGTTGGGTCAGTCCCGCATCGACATGGTGATGCCGAAGCTCACGAGGAAGAGGTTGATGAAGATGATCCAGATGCCGGAATCGAAGTAGACGTGTACGAAGGATCATCAATAAAGAGGAAAGTGGGAGTCCTCAAGAAGGACGCCAATTCCATAACTCATTTGCTTACACACAGATACCGAAATCCCTTCTGCGAATCATGCGTCAAGGCAAAGATGAGACACTTCAGATCACGAACGGGAGCATTCAAAAGAGAAGTGAAGACGTTCGGCGACCTGGTGACGTTCGACTTCGTGACGGCATCGGGAGATCATGAAGTGGAAGGCAGGTATGCGCTCATCATCCGGGACATATATACCGGAATTATCATGGCTTATCCTACCGCGAGAAGAGACACTGACTCAGTCGTCAGGGCTATCAAGCACTTCTGCGGGAGGAGGAAAATCAAGCAGGTATATTCGGATGATGGCCCGGAACTGATCAATGCGTGCGTGGAGCTGAAGCTGAACCACGACCTATCGCTGCCTGGACGGCCGCAGAACAATTCCCTTGCTGAAAGAACAAATCCATTCATCATTGACCAGACTTCGGCTTGTCTAGTACATGCCGGTCTACCCACGTGTTATTGGGTGCAGGCCATCACCACTCTGTGCCATCTCATGAACATTGAAGAGGTGAACGGATCGAGTGCATGGATGAGGCTGCATGGCGAGGAGTTCAAGGGCGAGAAGATACCTTTCGGTGCGCTAGTGGACTTCAAGCCGAGTGAAGCACGGGGGGAAAGAGGGAGAAGTTCGAGCCGAGAGGGGAAACTGGTATATTTGCCGGATATGTGTTGAGCACTGGCATGCATTGGGCAAACAAGTATCGTGCTTGGGCACTTACTGCATTTGCGGGAGCAGAGCTGAACATCAAGAAGGCAAAGGTTCCACCTCGGTTGAGAATGCCACATCAGACGGAGAGGATGATTCTGAAATCTCCTCTGACATTCCCAATACAACATAAGTACAAGGTTGCCAACGAGACTTTGGAAGGGATAGAGATGTCTATCGATGCAATCGGTCTGGATGCGCGTGACCGCCTGATCGAAGATGAGGACTACGAGCCTGAATTGCTGCAGAGTGACGAGAAGCGACTGCTTGACGATGAGGTCGATCAGATCGCTGGTCTACTGCTCGACGATGGCCCGGAGGTAATCGCCGGAGATCGGGGGGATCACGCAGGAGAAGAAGATGATAGACCGAGCTCTTCAAAAGGAAAAGGGGATGGACACTCCAAGGGCGATGAGAAGGTTGCGAGGTCCGACCTTCCACACGTGTCAGTTGGACTACCTGGGGATGGTATCACGTACGTCAACGACGATGGCAAGGAGGTTAAAATCGACAAGGCCGGAAGACCGTATCCTGTCGGGAAGGATGGATTCAGGCTAATGAAGACATCGAGACCTCCAGAGTTCACTCCTGAAGAATGGAAAATGATGAGTAAATATTACACCAAGGAAGAGAAGGCCGAGGTGAAGGGCGGTGGCAAGAAGAAAGAAGAAGATCCCAAGAGCAAGGAGTCTGAGATTTCCGCGCCGGCAGAGGCACGGACATTACAGATGCCCGGTGGTAAGAGGATTCGAGCGATGCTTCGGAACCGCTGGGGTGGAGTAGAATGGCAGTACAATTGGGGATTGCGGAAGAACATATCAAAGATCAAGAACCCAATGGATGGGAAGCACTTGGCTGAGCTTGAATGGGTCAGGATTGTTGTTAATCCAGTCGACGGGGTGGTTGTTCTCATGGATTCCAAACAGTCCCAAGACGTCATGAGACGAAACGTTCAGCTTGAGAAAGAATTTGAGTGTCTGGTGGTAATTTATGCCTGGAAGTTCGAGTCTGAGGAGCGATCAAAGTCGACTCCAAACTGGACGAAGGCGGTTGCATCAGTCATGGAGAGTCAAAAAGACGAAGCTGAGACAGCATCGGGGACGGATCCATCGGTCGACGAATCGACGGACCTCACCTGGTATGAATGGGAGGAGTCTGCTGAGATAGTTTCTGGAAAGGTGCCACTCGCGATGCCTGCGATAGGCGAAGACGGTGAAGCCAAGAAGTACCCATCAATGCCGTGCGTGACCTCTCAGCGAATACAGCACAGAGAGAAAGCTGTGAAAGTTGTACGATTCTTCGACGCTTTAGTATCCAGGCCGGTAGGCCGGAAAGAGATGTTGACCAACCCTGATGCATTGGCATCAATGAAGAAAGAGTGGTCGGGATTAATCGACCAGGGGGTCTTCGATCTTGGCGCGGTGCGCGAATATGACGCTGTAGCCCGGGAAGCAAAAGCGAAAGGGGAAGAAATACACATGGCTCGCGCACATGGCATTTGCGTTGAAAAGCACTCACAGTTGCCTGTTGGTGATCCTAAGAGGAAGTTCAAGGGTAGAGGCGTGTTGCTGGGAAACCAAGTGAAGAACCAAAGCTTTGAGGCTGCGATGTTTCAAGATTTGGGGAACTCCCCTGCTTCATTTGAAGCCTCGCGTTGGGCGGATTTTCTGGGTTGTCATGATGGCTGGGATGTTCAGATGGCCGACGCTGTTCAGGCGTATATACAGGCCACCTTGAGAGGCACGCCGTGTTGGATTGAATTGCCACCGGAGGCCGTGCCAGGTGAATGCAAATGGGATAAGTACAGAAGACCAGTCGTCCCGTTGAGGAAGGCGCTGTACGGACACCCAGATGCGGGAACATTTTGGGAGCAGCACTGCGATGAATCGGTGCGTGCCGTTGGTTTTGAGCCCATCGGCGAAGAATGGCCTTCTGTGTACATTCATGAAAAGCTCCAGCGTGTTCTGGTTGTGTATGTCGACGACTTCAAAATGGCAGGGCCGCAGAAGAACCTTGCCCAAGGGTGGAGCATGTTGCGTACACGTTTGAAGATTGAGCCCGAGACTGGACTTGACATGTACCTTGGTTGCAATCAAAGCATGGGAAACGTCACTCTCGGGAACGGACACCGAGTAACAACGGTGACCTATGACATGGAACAGTTCCTACGTTCCTGTGTCGACCGCTATCTTGAAGTGGCGGGCGACGTGAAGTTGAATAAGGTTGTCACCCCTGAGTTGCATGAATAAACAAAGAATCACGTCTCACGGAAGCCTGCCAGAGAGGGGCCGTCAGTCGTGTGCAATTGGTGTAACAATCTTGTGCCCACCGACGGTTCTGCCACAGCGCCGGACCAACGGGGAGGGACTCCTGAGTTGGCCATGAAGGAGCCCGTGCGTGGACACCTTGCTCCGCATGCCGCTAGCGTACTGATGAAGTTGCTGTACGTTGCGCGGATTGCTCGCTTCGATTTGTTGCGGCAAGTGAATCGCCTAGCACGGAACGTGCATAGGTGGACTGACTCCGATGATCGGGGTTTGCATCACTTGATGTGCTATGTGCATCATACCAAACATTGGCGCATGGACGGTTGGGTTGGAGACCCTATGGACGATGCGCACTTGGCCTTGTATGCGGACGCTGACTTTGCGGGATGCATTGACTCGCTGCGTTCCACCTCCGGTGGACACTTGAATATACAAGGGCCTAATACCCGGTTTCCGTTGTCTGGCAGCTCTAAAAGACTGGGTTGTGTGAGTCACTCCACTCCCGAGGCCGAGATTGTTGCGGCCGACGTTGCCATGAGATCGATGGGTATGCCCGCTCTCAAGCTGGTAGAGCGGATTCTCAAGAAGTCACCGAACTTTGTGTTCAATGACGATAATAAGGCTATGATCGGTGTCGTGCGATCGGGGAGGAACCCCACGATGCGCCACCTTGAGAGAAGCCATGGTGTTAGCATTTCGTGGATGCATGAGATGTTCACACGTGATTACATGTACTTGGCGTATGAGGTCACCGACAGGATGGCGGCCGATATCTACACCAAGGCGTTCAATGATGGGCGCAAATGGAAACATGCATGTTTGCAGATTGGTCTGCTTGACCCGAGCTTGCTGTCTGACCCGGATACCCTCAAGGCGCTCACACCCACGTGTGATCCCATAACGGGGACCATGCAGACTGCTTCGGGGACGGTTGACGGAGTTCCAACATTTCCGTACACACACATTCCGATCATGCCTCCCGACCTATGGTGGTCTGGATTAACATCCAAAGAGGGATTGCATGAGCATGAAGGACATTGTTGTTGCAAAGGGACCCAGATTGATGCGTGTGAAACCTCCACTCGCGGTTATGACACCGTTTGGGAGCAAGTGGCTTCGTTCCAGTTGGTTTCTGAAGAATGGGTCATGGCTCAAAGTTGAGGATAGAGTTGACCCGGGGCTACAATGTGTGCGAATTGATGGTTGGGTTGAACGCGCAGTTTGGCAGTTTCATCCCGTACCGGTCGCTGCACCGGCGCGGGAACGGTCTCCACGACCACGACCAATTCACGTCGGGTCGGGGATGTTGACATGCAGTCCGTGCTGGCCGCATTTGTTGAAGAACTGTCGAACGAGCGCATAGAGTTGAAGTGTATTAACGACCTTGCTTTGGAAACGTTGCTCCGATTGAAATTGCTCATGCGTTGTCTGCATATCAATCACGAGCAGCTTGTCCCTGGTCGTTGTTTTGTTCCGTATCGCATTGCGGTGAAGCACAAGCCACAGTTAGCGCCGGGTATTGAACCCGCGATGGTCAAACATGACGGTGGTGTGCTTCGCGCTCCTGTTCATGTCTCGCTTCCTGGTATGAGAACTCGCACAGTCGTCACTCTTTACAGTGTTGACTTGGCTCGGCCTATCGTGCTGATGGCATGTTCCGAACCACGTAACTGGTTCACTGCTCTTGCCCGCCATGACAGGCCGCAGGTTGTCACCATAACTCTGGTTGATGACTTACTGAGCGAGTACGGGGGGAGAATCGCCAGACATGTGCTTACCAAACCTTCCGATTTGTTGTTCTTCGCCGGGCCTTGCGCGGGGGGATCATCATGGGCACGCCTCAACAAGACTCGCGGAATTGACACCGCAGAGAAAATCGAGGCCAAACAAAGAGAATTTTGGAGATTGTTTGAACGGTTCGTTGAGATAAAACGGCATGCCATGACAAAACGAGCCGCGATTTTGTTTGAGTTGCCTGGAAGTTGCGACTATTGGAAAGATGAGAGACTGCATGAGGTTGTGCATGATGGGACTAGTGTCGCTATGGCTTGAAACAAAGATATGCAAAAAAACCCATGCCAATCAAGAAACCATGGAGAGTTGTCTCATGGAACTTTGAACTTGGTGGCTCGTTGTCTAAGAAATGCAATGGAAACCATGAGCATGGACCTTGTGCTGGTCGTGAAACCAAAGAAACCCAGTTGTACACGTCTATAATTGTGGGTGTGATCCTTCGCCGTTTTCGTGCTCGAGCAAGGTGCCTCAACCCGGCACCGTTGAAACTCGCTCTTGCTTGCATTACGCGAAGGAGATCGCGGAAGCACCAAGCTACTGCGAGCGAAATCTGCACCACCCCAACTGCACAACCGAGGTGCTGGGCCAGTCCCGAACCTCTGGTGCATACGGGGAGCTGGGTCAGTCCCGAACCCCAAGCTTCAAGAAGGAGCTGGACGAGTTCGTCACCTCAATCTGAAGCTGGGATCATATTGGGACAATTCCATGGCTTCATTTGCAGCTGCTTATTTTGGGTTTTCCTGGTTCTGGAGAATATCATCAAGATGACTGCCAATCCGAATGTCGTCAATACGAATGAGTTCTTCTGCGTGCCTATTGGGAAATCTAGGCAAGCGGCAATCTTCTTGGGAAATTTGGTGAAGAACGCCATCGAGGATGGCAAGAGGATGCCCAAGAGGATGGAGGTGAACAGCGACCTGGGTATGTGCGTGAAGTGGATCGAGGACATCGGCGTCCCCGCGATTTATGCATACTCAGCGTACTATTCTGCCAAGGGCCGCGGGATGATGAAAGGTGAAGGGCAGTCTATGAGGGTTGCCTTAGAGTTCATCAACAAAGTTTTCGGACAGCTTTCTGCCGACGAATGCATGCTTGGATGGAGGGAATTCTGCAGCAAGGGAAAGAAGATCGTGTCGGCGCTGAACCAACTTTGCGGTGAGGCAACGATGCTGGCGAAGAACCCCGAGTTGCTCAACGTGACCAAGTATTGCATGGAAGGGGCGGATATGTTGAGATCAATCGCGAACATCTGGGATCTCGCACTAGGCGTGGCCGAGGACAACGATGAACGGTCGTTCAAAGCAGCATTCCACCAGAACACCCCGGTTGGGGAGGTGTACAAAGAAGTCATCAACGACGAGTCATCTAGGGCATCGTCATCGAGAAGGTGGAGGAGCTCTGAGGAGTTCCAGACAACTGCAGAGTTTGAGAGGCACGACCGGAGAATCGCAAGATACAGGGATCGAAACTGGGGGAAAGTGTTCACGTTGAGCGTGATCAAGACTCCCAAGATCGACTCCTACGGTCGTGGTTCCAAGGACGACTACCAGAAGAATTGGGACCTTGGGTTGATCTACCAGAATGAGCTGCAGGCATCGATGAAGAACCTCGCATCTGCACTGAGGAGGGATGAGAATGCCAGCCAGAACAACCTATTGCGCTGGATGATCTGTGGGTCAACCCCCAGTGACATCTCTGACGCGTGCATCGGAGCGGTCAATTCGCTCATGTGTGTCTCTTTCATCATGAGGAGATTGCAGCCATTGCTCGGTGAGAAGGACTCCAAAGATCAGTCGTATACAGCTTATTTCCGTCCAGACAAAAAGGAGCTGAACGATCTCTACCGGGAGATTGAGTACGCCAGGGATTTCCTGTGGTGCATCGATATGATCTATGAGTCGAAGCTGCCTGCGATGAACATTAACTCCATCAGTTTGGCACCGCACGCGGCTGACAGGGCCGCTGAGAACCAGGATCGGCGCAAGTGGGTAAGCTGGATGAAGGAGATCGAGAAGAAGGCCGAGAAGAACGTCATGATCGAATTCTTCCAGAATAAATACTGCACGATTCATGAAATCGAGAGGGAACTGGAGAAGTACCCCGAGGATTTCGTGGTTGGGGAAGAGCCGACATGGTGGGTGATGGGCCCATCGAAGACGGAGCCGCCACGGAAGACGGAGCGACAGCAGAAGTCGGCATCAAGCTCCGGGCAAAGGAGTCAAACCGCTGGTGGGTCAGTCCCCCAGCCGGGAGCTCCAAGTGTGGGGTCGCAAGCCAGCGATGCTGTCAAGATCGACAACGAGATCATCGACTCCATTTTCCGAATGAACTCTGGCGGTGACGACGACAGATGGGTAATTATCAACCCAACTGCTGGACATGATACCTACACTTCATTCGAAGGGGGTACCACTTTGGGCGGAGCGACTGTCAATGTGAAATTCAACATAGACAACAACACGGGGTACCCAATCATACAAACTGTATTTGGGCCGTGTCTTGCAGAAGGCAGGAACGCAACATATTGGGAGTGTATGCTGAGATGCCTGACCTCTTCGCTGTTGCACTTCGAGGAGAAGACCAGCGCGGAGAAGATCATTCTTTCCTATGTTGGGAAGGGAAATGCGGCATGGCTACAGCTGTATGCTTTCTTGTGTGCCCAAACAGGATGCTTGTTTACTGGACGCCTTCCGGGCGCCAAAGCCATCAACGCGTTGATTCAGGCGGAGAAGAACCCGGACAACGCACCTGGACAGTTGAACCGGATTATCAATGGGCAGAAGAGGAGCCCCATTGGCGAGGCGACGATTCGCGACATGATGATCCACAAGAAGAGCTTCTTGGTCCTGGATTGGCCCCTGAGGGCCGTCAACTCGAAAGGGAGCACGAAGACCTTCCGGATGATGGTCAACGAACAGGGATGGACAAACATCGAGGAGAGATCATACTATGGGTCGAGTGAGCAAGTCTCCTCACCCAACGACACGTTGAATATCATATCCCGATTGCAGAAGCTGGATAAGCTCATCGCTGAACGGCGGAGGCGAGACATGGATGACTCGCCAATGTCGGTGCACATCTGGATGTCGCTATATGATTGGGTGTGCATGAGAGGATGCGGATGGCAGGTGACCGCCAACCCCATCATCGACTACCTGCAGAAGGCGATATTTGACCTCGTCAACACATGCAAGGGCCTGGTCGTGGTGAGCGTGAATCGCGATGTTGCTTTCCATGGTGGAAGAGGGACTTGGGGACGATCGCCAACAAGGTTAGCGAGATCTGCAAGGCGGCAGGCGCGCTGGTGACCGAGAACGATCGCCTGTGGCGCGTGGTCCATGCGCTCACAGGAAGGAACTACAAGATCCCTGGGAGCTCGAACTTGCAACATTTCCTCCTGAAACGACTGCTGATTGAGAAATCCATCGATGCGGTCGCACCAAGCACCGCGTTTGTGTGTGAGCTGGAGGGGACGTGCATAAACGAGCCCGACCTTCGATTCAACATCCCGAAGAACATGGAAGAATCGAAGGTGAAATTCGAGTACAAGCCGACCTTCACTGCACAGTCGAAGAGGAAACAAGAGCAGCAAGATGAAGGACACGGCGAGCAGGATGCTTTTGGGAAAGCCGATATCGGTGATCAACGTCTTCGATGGTATACGATCACGGAGCTCAGCAAGTTTATCTGCGAACTTTGCGCTAAAGAGATGCAGATGAGCAAGTCGAAGGTGCTCGGACCGAATTCGAAGTACAATCCCTCTTCTTGCGTGAACTGTTGCGCGAACTGGAACGCGGACACGAACGGTATTGCAATATCTATCGAGGGGAAGAAAATGTACACGCGCCTCTTCGCGGAATGCGTGGTGGCAATCCCCGACCTTCAAAACCTCATGGTGGACGTCAACAATATCCAGGCCATGATCACGATCATACGGGAGCTCGAGTATTCAAGGCTGAAGAAGGAGCTTTCTCACGTGGGATTCGTGAGCATGACTGTGGATCAAGCAGCGCAGTTCTACAACAACGGTCACGGGAAGCAATTGTGCGCATCCCGGGATGTGATCGTGTGCAAGAATTCCGAGGGAGTCGAGGAGAGGATGTCCATCTTCTTGATAGGCAAGGATCTTGGCAATGTGGCATATTCGTCCTGGATCAAGAGTGTGCTCGACCAAGGAACGATGTATGGACTCCTGGGACAAACCACGAACGAGGAATCCTTGGGAGACGTCGTCGAGATGGTGTTGGGATTCTTTGAGGTGATGTCGTACTTCCAGCACGAACTGCCACTGTGGAAGGATGCATGGAAGATCAAGAGGGAGTTCGAGCAGTCAATAGTGCGACACCTCGCTGGGAACGTGACCCACACGACGGGCCAGAACAGAAAGCGGAACAAACCGTCCGCACAGCTCGGCGCGCCCACGAAGGAGGTGCTTGGCATCATGAACAAGGTCAAGCCCAGACATCCACGATCCCTGATCACCGAGCCCTCTGCACAAGGTTCCAAGAGAAAGGCCACGGAGGGCGAAGACGAGGGTCTTGGTCAAGCACCAGACCCGAGTCGAAGTTCTCAGACCAATACTGAGAAGGAAGACAAGAAGCAGCGTGTGATCGATGGGCGGAGAGCGGCACTAGGATTCCTGGAGTCAATGGAGAAATGCATGGGAGATATGGGGATCTGTAAGAAGTGCGCGAACCTGGCCCACGACGGCGACTGCAAGGACATTGAGGAGGCTGCTGGAAATGAGAAGGCGATGAAGGTGCTCCGTGAGCTACTCAGCAGTGACCCTGTTTCATCTGATGAAGACATGGGGGATACGGAGGAACCGTCCTCATCAGCGTCCAAGGAAAGAAAGAAAGGGGGACAAGCAGGGAAAGAAACAATTGAGATGTACAGCTACACTATTAATTTGGTGGAGATGGCTGACACGGCTGAGGGAGGAGAGCTACAATGTGGTGGCGTCGACCTCACATACAACCCGTGTGGGGACAGCAGGACATTCAAGAAGACGCTTGAGATGGGATGCGACACCATCCCGTGCTACATCCCGAAGTACGGCGACATGATTGAAGTGCATATGCCACGGGCATACGCGTCTATTGTTGACCCCAGGTACTTTCCCAGAGGTGCAATCCTTGAGCAAGTGGACGTGATGCAACTTGGCAAGAGTGTCAACTTTTGCATTGCTCCTTTCGACGGTGCTCCACTATGCAGGATTGGTGATGATCGCTCGGTATTTACTACAAGGGACCAAGCAAACCAGCTATCTCACGACCTATGCAGAGTCCTTCGACACAAGATCGGCAATTGCCGAGGAAGTGCTTTCAGGTGCGACGAGGGTGGATGGGTCGACATTGATGCTGTCATTGACGACCGGAACAACGACATATTCCCACCAACACCACGAGAGCGAAACGATACATGGGCATCATGGAGGTGATCAAGTGGCAGGAATCCGGAAGCAAGAAATCGAGATTCCAGGTTCTGGCAGCAAGGTTTCCGAGCATCATGAACCCGAACGACACGAGGGCAGCCAGGGAGGAAATGACCGAAGCTGGCGTGGATCGGGACGACATCGACAGGATGTTCAACAGATGCGATGGATGGTACAGACCTTGGTGCATCCGAGTCACAACCGGTCACAGTGATTTTGGATTCATGAGCTCATCCGCACTGGCGAATAGGTATTCCGCAAGAATGGGTGATGCTCTCGGAGGAGCATTCCATGTGACGTATGTGGAAAACCTGCCAAGCATCGTACGCTGTGGGCTAGTCCCCGGCGGAATCGATGGCGGTAACAGGCTAGCACTGCACTTCGGGGCGTTTGCTCCATGGGATGAGATGAACGTGGCGACGAAGACAACGCTACGGAACGTGAGGAGAGGGGATCCGATTGCGATCATCTATATTCCCAGTGCAACCCTCGCGCGGTATGGGGCTGGAGTCGCGGCTAATGGGACTTTCATGGTCTTTGACGTGATCCCGTTCTATGAGGTCAAGTCCATTTGGATTGGCAAAAGCAACGGAGGGAAGCGCCTGGAGTACGCTGACATCAAGAGGGCGTACTCGAAGTGTGTGGAGAACGAGATCTGCCCTGGCTTTGTCAACTCTTCCCAAGAGTCGGCTGCGATGTTCCTCCAGAACGTCGCAAAGATCAGCGAGAGGATGCCGGAGACTGAGACAGGTGCCGATAATCTGCACTACATCGTTGACATGGTTAATCGTGCTTGCGAACTCTATCGAAACAACAAGATGGAAGAGTTCAACGCACAGGTCAACGAGGTCCGGGACGAAGTCAGCAAAGTCGTCATCCTGAATGATGAGACATGGGAAGGACTGAGGTGCCGGATATGTCCATCATGTGCGACCGCGATCCCCACCTGCTTCTGCTTATGCCTGGAGTGCGAGGCACAACTGATCTCCATCGGAAGATACTACATTCACATCAAATCCGATGACGAGGAGGACAACCAAAACCCCAACGTCTCTGGAGATGCCAGGCGTGCACAGGAAGAAGCTAACCACGATGCGGCAGCACAGGAGGATGAAGACGAAGCGGAGGAAGTTCCGGGAGAAGATGACGACATGGACACGCAAGGATATACATCCGGCTATGCGTCAGAAGAAGAAGACAGCGGTTGGCATTACCGCGACACCGATCTGGCGTCACGGGACATTATAAGTTCCCAACGGATGGCGATCTGCCTTGACGAGCCGCGTGAGGCTCAGTACATGGCAGGATTTATCGCACTCCAGCTGTCCAAGATGTGGGGGATGTTGAAGGTGGTGAGGAGAGAACGATGAATGCCAAGCTCGAGGGGAGAGAGGGCTGCCCTTACCACAATGATTTCAAGAGGTACCCCAACATCACTGAGCACGATCAGGAAGGTATACTTTTGCCATCAACAATAACGAAGATTTCTCAATCGGAGAATGTTCGGACAAGAGCCTTCCGATCGGTTGAGGAGCGTGACGAATATATTCGTATGATGGTGAACAAATGCGAGGGACTTTACACATTCTACAAGCTGTGGATTGCAGCGAGAATCCTCGATGTCACCAAGGAAGAAATGAAGCTCCTGGTCAAGGACCGAGTGCACCCGGTGGGTGATATTATTTTCAGATGTTTTGCACTAGCTTTCAACTGTAAGTATATATCATTCGTGAGGGATGGCCTAAACCTTGGCAAGAATGGTTACACGGTCAACGTGAGCGCCATCATCTCGGCCATCGACCCGAACAAATGCGACACACCCCTGCTGGATTGGTGCCTTCGGAAAGGGCACTGGTTGCCAGAGGACTACAACAAGAAGTGTGTCCGGGCACGAGAAGCCCAGAAGAACTTGGACGAGGAGTTCCGCCGACGTACCCATAGGCTGTCCATTGGGGACAGGTATGCTTCGTGAAGATGATGATTGCGGTACGATGTGGGCCAGTCCCCATCTGTTACTTGCGTCACATCGACACTGTTTCGGTGGAACGACTTATGTCATGATTTATATTCATGTGTCCAAGATGATTGGGTGTGTACATGGTTACATATTCCGATGACTATGACGCTCTGGATATTCATGGATGGAACTATTACCTTATAGATGATATCTTTTCATTATTTATGCATTATCCATGGTATCTGGAATGGCTATGATTTGCATTGATTACTCACCGATGTTTCTTTGCCGGAGATATGCAGACCGATCACAAGCGGGCGCGTCTGGTGGACTTTTGTGGCCAACCCATTTATGGATGACAGCTGCGCGATGCGCAAATGCGGCAGCTGGAATGTTCACTGGCGGTCAAGTGAAGTGGCCACAGTGTATTATATACACCTGCATATGGATGTGTGCTTCGATTGGAGGATGAATGTTTCACTTTTCGTACAATCGAACCCGGCATGTTTCACAGCGAATGAACGGTGTAGTGATAGCAAGTAAAAGAATGCACGACACGATTTCGTAGTTGAAGCCGTGGCCAGTGGAACGTTTTGTGGTGTTTGGACCGCATGATGAACAATGCGACCCAAATGGGGGATGTTAAAACCCTCTAGGCCCCGTGCCGAAATTGGGTAGCTGTTCTGAGGTCCTTGTTGGTGTTGCTTCCCAAGTTCCATTGATCGCCATTTGGCTCAAGACACAATTGAGGTTCAAGATCTGATGTGTGACCGCGAACATTCGTGACGGGCGATAAGAGCAAAACAACTGCTTGCGCTGCATTGTCAGGACTACTGGTGTAACTATCATTCCTTCTTCCTTACAACGTTTACACGGGTTCGGCTATAACGGCATCGTCCGTATACACCTTTCTACATGGTTGGTATTAAAGCTTGAGGGTTCGGTGCACAGCGTCCCACGGGACGTCACCTTGCCGTCTCTTGACAACAGGCATCCCCAACTATTTTTGGTATGGAAGAATGGCTGCAGGGGCGTGCGCTTGACGCTAAACATCCCGGACTCAGAGGCCTAGGATTTCCCGCAAGCATTTCAGCCATGACCCCTTTGGTTGTGACCCCATGACTAGGGTTTTTAGGCAACCACGAGATTGCTAGGAACCGATTCGAACATCCCGATGAGTTTTGACAACAGATTTGGGGCGCTTGCCAAGGTGGTGGCACGTCCTCATCTATCTCGCTGTTGCGGCCTATACCGAAGTGCCTTGGTTTCGGACTTTCGGACCAACAGGGTTCTATTAAACGGATTCCGATCGCTTGCTCCATGTAGCATCCAACATGAAACCATATTTGGCAAATCACGCGCCTGAGCACACAGCGAAGCTGATGTCTCTATCACTGGAAGGATTCCTGATGCATCCTCTCTCATTTTGCTTAATTTGGGTCTCAGTCAGGCGGCTAGTAAGACCAAGGCTTGGTAGGTATTCTTTTTCCACAGATTCATTCTGGTCGCACATACCGTCGGTTGCGCCATAGGCATTGGTCACGGTCTTGGCCCTCACATCTTCCCCGTCATTTTGTCAGTGAGCGCCAGTGAGCGTGGCTCCAAGAAATCCTTTTTGGCTCACAGCTTGGCCTCGTGTGCGCACGCAGCGTGGGCATGGCTGGAATTTGTCAAGCGCTGACAATTGCATGGGCAATGAAGGCAGTGTCCTCCAATTTACTTGCCGGATCCTTTGCCGGGATTGTCATCCACGTTTGTTGGGAAGCTGTGCCTTGATCCAGGCGCATCGCTTGTCCCTTGTGACGATTTTCCCACTTGGCAGGGAGCTTCAATCAAATTGAGCAACTCCTACCAGGTACAAAGACGATGCCAGTTGAATACGCAGCATAGACAACGCAGTGCTCTACAGGATGTTGTGATGATCCTGGCCATTTGCTCACATACTTTCTGCATGTAGCAAGTATGTTCTTGGATTTCATAGCCAATGCGGTTCAAGCCTGCCAACTGATCGGCTTGATACCAGCTTGCAGACTGGTGTTTCTCATAATATGGATCCCCTAAAAGGGTTGTCTTCCTTTTCGTTCTTGCATGTTTTTGCACACCTTTAAAAGGACACGCCCAGATGCACAGATGGGAGGCTCAAACTCCGTTGAGAGAAGCTCGGAGCTTCTCAGTACACGCTCAGCATTTCGCCATGGAAGAGCCACCCCGCGAGCCTGGAGGAACGCTGCTGATTTGGGATTATGCAGCTGACTTGGCAAGAAGGCATGACGTCTCGACTCGTTCAGTGGCATGCCATTTAAGTGCGATTCAAATCCAAGCGTTCACCAAAATGACTGTGAAGATAGATCAGGCTTTATGGACCGCAAGTCGAGCTGTGTGGTTTGTTGCATGTGGCATTTGCAGCTTGACAATTTCGGGTGAGTTGTCTCCCTGCAAACAAGCCATCGCACTTGGTTGCAAGGACTGGAGCCTCATCAACGCAAACTCGGACGGGCAGCGGTTGGCTGCA